AGGGTTTCGGGGGGTTGAGGGGGATACCAATACACATAGTGGGCGTTTCCTATGCGAACATACGAGTATATTCCGCGTACTAACTTTGATATGTTTATTGCTCAGCCATCAATTGATGAACTCAGAAGATGATACCTCATAGATCATCATCAATGGCACCACATCTATCAAATCCAGCCATAAACAGCCAAGAATAGCCAACGAAACTCGTGTTTGTTAGATAAAAATGTGACTTTAAACTGAGACTTCAAATGAGACTTAAAACTGAGACTTAAAACTGAGACTTCAAATGAGACTTAAAACTGAGACTTAAAACTGAGACTTAAAACTGAGCCTTTAATTGCCTGCGGAAATGCTAAAGTTAAGGATTGTTGTAGATGCTCCTGCTTAATGGGCATTGGATGGCATTGGGCATGCAGAAAGGTGTGGAGGTGGCTCATTCCCTGGATTAGCGCACTGAAAATGCCTTAGAAAAATTCTTTAAAATTCTTTATGCTCACAAAATTAATATTATATTTAAAAATCCAGGCCAAAGTTAATCCAAATCCATTTCAATGTAGTATATATTATCAAAAAGCGTCGGAAGATGTCTAATTGTTAGATCTTCTACATTTTAATTCTAATTAGGAGCTTCCAAAAATTCTGACAGTGGTTGTTGCTAGCTTGAAGCAAGCACACAGCTCTATAGGTCATAGGTTTAACCTATTACTGGCCATAAAAAATTTATAAATGTTCTAAATATTCAAACACTTTAAAGCTGAAAAAAAAGGAAACGCCACCCCCAATCAAATTAGATAAATAAAAATATTCAAACGACTTTAAGTTCGATGCACAACCAGGGCAAACAGGGCTCGGCCACAGCTGCCTCTATTCCCACACACACACACACAGAGATAGAGAGAGAGAGAGCGAGAGAACTCACGCTCTTAGCCATGTCCAACAAGGTTTTGCCTGATCACAGTACAACAAAATTACATCATATGGCGAGTATCTCGCATCTGGCAGTCGTCGCACTCGTGTTTGGCAAAAGGTTGAGGAGGTCAAGAGCAATCGACAGACACCCCACCCCACCCCACCCCAGCCCAGCCCAGCCCCCACCCCTTTTGCGTGGCAGAAAAGGTGCGGCCATTAAACATTTAAACACCTTTGCCATAAAAACTTGAATTCGCCCCGTTTGGTCAAGATCAAGTGCCTTAGAAATGCTGCCAGCAATCGTTATTTAAATGGAAAAGATATACACACGCGTACATATGTACATATGTATGTATCCAAGGAGGAGTACTCCGTGCGAGAAGTACAGGAAAAGAAAAATATATCCCAAAAAAAGAAGAGGCGTAAATGGTGGCGGGGGGCGGGGGCGGTAGGGAAGAGACCAAAACCGAGACCGAGGCGGCAAGTGACAGGCAAAAATTGGAAACACGCAGCTTGTGAAGCGTTTTCCTCGTTAAAAGTGAAAAAGCCGCAGTAGCCGCATGTGCCCCACGCAGCAGCCGCCCTCGCCCCCCCTTCAGCTGCTCCCTGCAGCTCCTGCTCCCAGCCGTCACTCTGCCAAAAGAAAAACCGACACAGTCGCAAAAATTCATAGACGACAACACGAGACAAAATTGCATTTTGGTCCAATGTGTGCCGCATGGCCCAACGACAACAAAACAAAAAAAAAAACAACACCCGATGGAGCCGCGACGCGTCAACCTCCAGTCCAAAAAAAAAAAAAAAGAGGAAAGAGCAGGAGGATTGACAGGGTGGCAGGGTGGCAGTTGGGGGGGGTAACCAACAAAATGGCAACATAACATGCAAAAGATACGCCACAAGAGCGGAAAAACCCCCAACCCGCACCACACACCCCACACCACACACTCCTGCTGAAACGAAACGAAACGCAAAAGGAGGAAAAGATACACACAGGCGGCGCAGGAGTTGCGCTTAAATTCCCATTACAGCCCATAATGGCTGCGGCTGTGTGTGTACTGTCTGTGTGTGTGTGTGTGTGTGTGTGCATGCGTAAGTGTGGGTGGAAAAAGAAAAATGAAAACGAACTGCGCAGGATCATTAAGGCAATGGGGGAACAGTGGGAGTAGCAGCTTCAGCGCCAGCCCCAAAAACACAAACGCAAACTCAAACCCCAAGGAGTAAGCCAATACATAGATCCCCAAAATATACACGCACACACACGCACACACACACACGTGCAGAGACAAACAATGCGAAATGTCAGAAGAAGGCACACAAAAGATACACGTACGAAGGGCCAACTGAAATTTATACAAACACCAGAAGAAAAAAAATAAGAGCGAAAAAAAAGGAAAGAAAAAAAAACGCACACCAGAAAAACGAATAAAACGCACAACAAAAGAAGCTGCCAAAAAAAAATAAGACACAAAAAAATGGCTAAAATGGTGGCCCCAGCCATACGCAACACACACACACACACACACACACCCATACGCCCCGTACGTACAAATCACACACATGTCCATATGTCTATATAGGGTAGCATTATATAGCATTTTGAAAGCAAAAAAAGCAGCGAGCAGCAGCAGGAATGAAAGAAAGACAGCAAAAAAAAAAAAAAAAAACCCACATGCCCCCAAGCCAAGGCTGCAGAGTGAGTGCGAGAGAGAGAGAGAGAGCGAAGGAGAGAGATATTGCTGAAGCAATTGGATGCTGAAACATGGAAGTAAATGCTGACTGTCTGTCCAGCCCAGTCTCCCCATCTGTCTGTCAGTCGGAAACTGAAACACTTGGAGCTTGAAAAGCAACAAATATCCAAGTACTAAAGCTTTTCCCTGTTGGCTTTGCAGCAGCTTAAAAATACCCTAAAAAAATTACAAACGAATTTATGAGCAGCGCGGAACAGGGCGGTGATGATGGAGAGCTGAAGGAGAGCTGAAGGAGCTGTGTATTTAGGAGTTTCAGCTACAAGTTTTCAAGGGGAAATCTTTAAATTAAAGCGCCTTTACATGGGAGTATATTGATAGCTTCTTGATGATGAAACCCTAAAGTTTACTTGGCAATAAATAAAATAAATATTAGCTATTTAATCAGGAAAAACAGGCCCTATATTCCAAGTGCTCCAAATAAATAAAACTTATTATTTTTATTGTGTTGCTTAAATGTTTCTAAATTTAATCAAAATTTAATCCAAATTTCTTCTGATTAATCCCAACTTTTTAATGTGTGAAATATTTAAAAAATAACCCATTGCTTATGCTGTGTATTGAACCCAATAGAAATATAAAAATTTCCACGAGCCCTAATGCTTCGTCTTCCATTTCGATTGCAACTTCTATTCAGTATTTATTCAGTAAATTTATTTTATTCAATTTGTTAATTCAAATAGTTTCGCAATCGTCTAGTCAAGCTCTCTGGCAAAATTGTAAGACCCCAACCAGCAGGGTATGTACGAAAAAAATCGGCGAAAAAATAAGGAAAAGAATATACACAGAGAGTGAGAGAATAACAACAACAACAACAACAGCAACAGCAACAACGATATCGGACAACGGCAGCAGCAACTTGTCTGCTCCGCCTTTATAAATAATTCATGTGTAGCTACAGCGAGTGCGAAAGATACGCAAGATATCGTACTACCCGTGCATATACACACCCCAGCACTGTACTCCTCCTTCCGGCACCAAACGCCCCTAACCACTCCCCACAAACACACACACACACACAGATACGCAGCCACGTTTAAAGATACAGCGGCAACAGATACAGATTTTATGCTGGTGTGTGTGTGTGTGTGTGTGTGGTGGGGATGGTGGGGCAACGAAACATTTAAAACGTGCTAAACGCGCGTCAAAGTTTTTCTTAATTTTTCAACAGCATGAAAAAGTTTTTGCTGTTCCCTCACTGCTCACTGCCAAGGATTACAGGCAGCCGCACATATTTACTGGGCAAACTGGATACATACGGGGTGGTGGGGGGGGTTTGGGTCTAACAGAGGGCACAAGAATATATTGTATCTTGTAGAGTGAGTGGCATGGTGTGTGCTTGTGCTGTGTGCCGCCTTGTACATAATGTGCCAATGATTGCATTGATTTTTTTCTTTCTTACTTACTTTTTTTTGCGCCAGAAAAAGTTTTGGGGCCAAAAAAAAAAATGGCACGAAGATGAAGTTGATGTAAAAATACACTGAGGAAAAATTGGAGATATACCTAAAGATATATCAGCACTGAAAATCGAGCTGGCAATTCATTAGATTAAAAATATATTATTATCATAATTTAATCATCACAATTCATAAACATATTTTAAAAATAAACAAAAATCGCTCTCTTATGCTAAACTGTATTTATCATCTGAATAAGCACAATGGAAGCCGAATATAAGCCGAAAACATATCCTGCCATTACGTATACTTAATCTTGGCAGCCAACCGAGAGCGAAAACTCTTCAACTTAAATACTTGAAAATGGCTGCCTGCCTGCCTGGCAGGATTTATGAATTTTTCAAATGTTTTCTTTCACAAAAAAAAAAAAAAAAACAGAACGAGAGCAAAAACTTTTTGGCAGCAAAAGTTTTTTGGTTTTTGGAGTCCCGTGCCTGTCCCTGGCATCCCAGACACCCCCAGCACTTGGGTAAACAGGGAAAACTCAGATTATTTGATAACAGTTTGTTAATTAGCGCTGTCTTTGGCTGTCTCCCTGGCTATTTGTTTGCGTTTCCGAGGCATAATTGGCAAAATGAATTTAAGTTTAAAATAAAAAAAACTGCAGAGCCAAGGAAAATTGCAAAATTGAATAGGAGGCGAGTGGGAAGGACTTGACTTACTGCTGGGGACTACTCTTGGCCGTCGGCAAATGGGGAAACTTCTATTTTTAGTTTGTTTTTGATTGGGTATTCTTTCTCAAATTGATTTCAATTGAATAATAGATGCAGTGCCAGCAAAAAATAAAAGATAGAGGGTGGTAAGCCACTCTGCAGTAACCCACTTTAAATTAAAATATTTATACCAATAATATTAAAATTGTATTTTCGTTCTATTCTATTTGCAGAAAAACAACGTTTATCGCATTGCGTTGGCTGTGGCGGCCAGATCCACGATCAGTATATCTTGCGCGTTGCACCCGATCTGGAGTGGCATGCGGCGTGCTTGAAGTGTCAGGAATGCAGGCAATTTCTCGACGAAAGCTGTACGTGCTTTGTGCGTGACGGCAAAACCTATTGCAAGCGTGATTATGTTAGGTATGTAAAAAGCCCACAGCACATAATTGTATCCCATGACTCGGGTTACGGGTTACATATCATAATTTTCCTCTGCCCAAACGAACTGTATTTACCCCCCCTAAATACACGCCTCATGTCATGCGCTTGGTTCACTTTTCAGTTCCAATTGTAGCATTTTTTTTTTTTTTGGTATTTATATGCTGTTAGCCAGCCTTGTTAGCCCAGGCAATTAGAATGATGATGCCAACACACCAGAGAAATATAGACAGACTTCGCAGGCACCTAGTCAACATTTTCTGTGCGTTCTAATCAACAGATGGTGGTCCAGTAGCAGGCATCAGGCACTGGGCACTGGACACTGGGCAGGGGGGGTTTCATCATCGCTAAATGTATGACGTGCAATAAAAAGTTTTTTTTGTTTGCTGCCTTTTTTTTTTTTGTGTGTGTTTTTTTGTTGCTGTTGCCAATAAAGCGGCAACGGAGGAGCGACCGAGCGAGCAGCAACGTCGCAACTATTTGCCATGCAAATCTTTGAATAATTGATTAACACGTGCAAAGCTATAAATTAACACTTTTCCACACACATATCCGAATCCAATACGAATGATTGATGAACACAGGGCACACACAGAGCTCGGGATTGTTGTTGTTGTCCGGGCGGTGGCGGCGGTCACAAAAGAATTTCATTTTATAGCCATAAACAAGGTAGAGGCTTTACCTCATCCCCCATCCCATCCCCCATCTCTCTCGGAGTGACCATATTCAAGGCTATTTACAATAACTAATCATGGGTTATTTTTTTTCTACCCATTTCATTTCATTTCAGGTTATTTGGTACAAAATGTGATAAATGCGGTAACTCCTTCAGCAAAAATGATTTTGTGATGCGCGCCAAAACGAAAATCTTTCACATTGAGTGTTTTCGGTGTTCGGCGTGTGCGCGACAATTACTGCCAGGTAGGCACCGCCGAGTAGCTTCTCCACTTTAAATGTACGATTACTAATTTCGTTGTTTATTTATTTCATAAAATTTTTTGGCTAACAGGCGATGAGTTCGCGTTACGTGATGCTGGGGCGCTGTATTGCAAGGAGGATCACGATGTGCTGGAGAAATCATCGCAGAGCAGTCTCACCTCCTCGTCGGTGGAGAGCAACAACAATATTAGCAGTAGTAACAATAATAACACCAACCTTAGCAATAACAACCATTCCAGCGAATTGGGTTCAATGTCAGGTGAGTGCTCCACAAAACCACAGCAATAATTTCTCTGTTTAAGTTACAACTTGATTTAGTGTGCGCAGTGGAGAGAAATAATACCTAAGTACTTGAGTCAAGCCCCTCTTGATTCAAGGATTCAGGCATAGTTATAGCAGAGGTATTGTGGCTCAATCTGTGGCTTAGTTTATGTTGCCTCCCAATGGAGAGTTGCCTGAAAGCGTTGCAAACAGTTCCCAGGGAATAGTGCTAGCAATTCTTTAGCAGTACGCACAGATTGGTTAAAGATTCCTAAATACTTTGGGCAGGTTTCAGTAATATTTCAAGAAGGGTTGTTCCTGCACTTGGAGCAACCCTTCAACCCTCCATTGTGTCGCTTGGGGGATGCTTCTATTGTGCGGCAGTCTCTCTCTCTCTCTCCTCTCTTTGTTTTGGCTTTCAGTTGACTGTGTGTAACTGGATATTAGTTCATTAGTTTGGCAAATATTGTGATATGCCTATTGTTGTTGCCTTTGGAGCCACATTTTTGGAGTCAGCCATCCCATCAGCCTAATTGGCATTGAAGTTATTAGTTTTTGGTGGATAGATATCAAAATTGAAGTGCGATATTAATAGTTACAGTCCTTTGTGTGCAGCGACAGCCTTTACAATATTTCCATTAACGAATCCGCTGATTATTGTGGGGGAAAAAGAAAGAAAGAAAGACGTATCTTATTCCCAGTTACTGTTCTCGGAATACCCTCTGCAGAACACAGGAATGTACTATACTTAACCCATATTTTATGGGGTCTTAGATAGTGGCCAATAGTCCACTTTAGCGCTCCCACTGCAACTTCCAATTCTCCACTCTCTAATTGCCTTGGCAATGGCAAAAGAGCAGCACAGGCACAGGCACTCCACTCCACTCCACATTCTGTGGCCCAAAAGATTGCCAATCCTAATTAGCCTAAATTGGTCTGGGGCAAGTGGCACTACAGCTGGGGGACACTGCTGACACTGCCACATGCCTCCATGCTTCGGCATCCCACAAAAGCGTTTGCCGTTCGTGTTTTATTCTTAGAAAAACAGCGTTACATCCTTGTAAGTGATAAAGGTGTCAATAGAAATCGGCAAACGTCAAACAATGTACGACAATTGTCAAACCATATCGTCAACATAATCTCATTGTTTAACCTGAACGAAGAAGAAGAAGAATAAGAAGGAGACAGCAACAGAGCAGAGAGTGAGGAGTGAGGAGTGAGAGAGAAGTGTGGAGAAACCTTATCAACATGGGGCGGCGTTGTCAAACGATGCCAAAACGTGTGTGGCACAGATAGATGCCATGCAGCACAGCACCGCACAGCACAGCAACCATTGCCTGTCCCCCCCTCAATTTGCAAAAGGTGTAAGGGGGCAAGGCAGTTGGTTTGGTTTGTTCCATGCAGCTGCCACACACAAACACAAAACTCCAAGTTGCATTGAAGCATTGAAGCAGGCAAACATTGACAAGCAACTTCTTGGGAATTGGATTTCTGTTTGACTGAGTTCGATCGTCGCGTTGATCAATCTTCGGTACTCCCTTTACTCCCTTTACTCCCTTACTCCCTTACTTGGGGTATACCATTCATAGTTCCACTTGTTTGGTTTATTTTATTTATTTGTGTTCAACTCGAAAACGGCATGCAGTCTAGTCGAGTGTTTGCCAAACCACAATGCCACAGAGCCACAGAGCCACAGAGCCGCAGAGCCACACAGCCACAGAGCCATGGAGCTCAGTCATGGGGCGGTGACATCGCTTTGATGTCTCTTCATAACCAATTCCAGAGAGCCAGCCCAAGCGATCGCGCTTCAATTTGTATAAAAGTTTTTGCCAATTTGGCAGGCAGCACCCACAGGTTGATAAGAGGAGGCAGGAGATGTGGGTAGAGCAGCACCAATACACCAGACATCCATCCATGCAACGATCGATCTATTCTTTGGTTTGAGTTTCGGCTACGATCTTCATTGATCGAAATTAGATAACAACTTGTTCGGGGGTTGTGAAACACGACTTAATTACCATCGACCAACCCATCGGGTTGTACGATCGCATCGATGCTACAATTCTGATACAACGCGTGTCTGCAAACAGCAAGAGAGAGAACTCAGAACACAGAACACAGACAGAGACTCTTTGATCTTTGCACACATTTGGCGATATTTTTGGGTGCAATTTGGTATTTGCTTTTTGTACTTGAAGCCCCAGCAGCAACAAAAAGAAATATGTAGAACGGAAAGAAAGAAAAAGATAGATATTTGGTAGGCAAGCGGCAAGCGGCGAAACAATTCATCAAAAAACGGCACTTCAAAGTGTTTTTTTTTGTTTTTTGTTTTCTTTATGCCAAAAATAGCAAAAAAAATTGATCATATCTTTGCTTCTCTCTCGTTTTTGTACAGATTCTGGCAGCGAATCGGGCTCACATAAAAGTATTAGGGAAAAACGACCCTCGGGTCCATCGGATGGCAAGCCAACGCGAGTTCGGACCGTGCTCAATGAAAAACAGCTGCATACACTGAGGTAAGTCACAGATCACAAACCAGAGATCACAAATTAGAGATCAGCGATTACAAATCACAGTACTAATACACTTGTGTATTCTTTGTTATATGTAGAACCTGCTACAATGCTAATCCGCGACCTGATGCGCTCATGAAGGAGCAACTGGTTGAGATGACAAGCCTCTCGCCGCGTGTCATACGCGTCTGGTTCCAGAACAAGCGCTGCAAGGACAAGAAGAAGACCATCCAAATGAAGCTGCAAATGCAACAAGAGAAGGTATGTCTATCGCCACCCACACACCACCATCGCCATGTAGCCCATGTGTATAATCTAGCTCTATAAACGTTCAATAAGATGGTTTATCCATACTTGCAGGAGGGTCGCAAGCTTGGCTATGGCGCGATGCAGGGCATACCGATGATTGCCAGCTCGCCGGTGCGCCATGATTCGCCACTCAATCTGCAGGGTCTGGATGTGCAGACATATCAACCGCCGTGGAAAGCCTTAAGCGATTTTGCCCTGCACGCCGATCTGGACAGTAATGGAGCAATCAATACGCATACACCTGCATTTCAGCAGCTGGTCAACCAGGTAAATACGATACGATACGATACGATATGTATATTCATTCAGCGCTCATTTAACTAACTGCGTTACTCGCTTTTTTGTTTTGTTTGGCAGATGCATGGCTATGACCTGAATGGAATGCCAGTGCTGCCGCCCCATCCGCCACAGGGACCACACCCACCGCCGCCGGGCCAACAAATGAACGGGCCGCCTGGGGGCAGCAGCATGGACTCGGGCATCACCTCCTCGCACCATCATCCGGATAGCACGGACTCGTATGTCACCTACCTGGAGAGCGATGACAGTATGCAAGGCAGTCCGTAGACCAAATCGAACCGAATCTAATATCAGCTTCTTTTGTTGCTCCCAGAATCCAAACTGGCGCTGACACCGTCATCCTCGTCATCGGCATCGGCTGCCACATCGATCTCCTCGCCGCCATCGTCCTCGTCGGCGGCGGCCACTGGTGGCGTTGGCATCGGTGGCGGTGCCAGTGGAGTTGTGGGTGTTGTTGGCGTAGGCGTCGGCATGGGCATGGGCATGGGCATTGGCATGGGCGGGGTTGGTTGTGTTGGTGCCGCCAATCAGTCGGCCACCGAGCAGCTTATGCAAATGCTCCAAAAAGTGACTGGCTCCGGTGGTGCCCCGGCATCCCATGCGGTGCTTTGAGCTCATGCATGGCGCAAGGGGCCAGGGGGCAACCGTCAACCATGACGATGGCTCCTGCTGATGCTGCTGCTGCTGCTGCTGCAACAGAGACAGACAGAGAGACAGAGAGAGAGAGAGAGAAAGATAGTAGTGGAGGTAGCAGAAAAGAGCTCGCGGGCTTTTTGGGTTTTGTGCAATTTCCGCGACTCGGTTTTGGTTTTTAGCTCCCCCCCCGCCCCGTCCCCTTTTCCCCTGTACTATTTTTGTAAACTATGATTTGTATTTTGTAACGTAACTTTATTTTACTTTATTTTATTCTGTTCTGTTCTGTTCTGTTTGATTCGGTGCCAAAAAATAGTCTGTAGGCCGTTCGTTGGCATTTGACTGGCTAAAGGGAGGATTATATCTTTTTCTGGCTCTAGTTCTTTGCTTTGGCTCAGTTTTTTTATACCATTTTTGTTGTTATGTAATATACCGTTTTTGTTGTTGATTTCCACATAAAAAAAATGTAAGCAAAAATTAAATTAAATTAAATTAAATTAATACAAAAATGCTCACACACTTGAAAAGTTTTAACAATAATTTTTGCATTAACAAAACACCGAAAAACTTGAAAAACAAATAACGAAAAACTAAAATTATTCGATAAACGACAAAACAAGTTACTTCGCATCAAGTAGGGAATTTCATTAAACGAAAAAAATTGTACATAACTTTTATAAATATATATATATATACGAGTATATATAAATATAAATATATTTTCATTCAAAATGCAAAAAATCGATTCATAGACATTCAACCAGAAAACGAAACAAAACAAAAATCAATGATGTAAAACGAGAAATTGACTATAAAAATAGGAAAACAAAAACAAAAAACGCTCGTGTGTATTATAGAGGATATATAAACTGGGGCTTAGAATATAGTATAAAAAAACCACGCACTTGGCAAAATTGTAAATCGAATTAACAACAACAAAAACAACAGCAAAAGAAATGTCTATGTTTAAGTTCGTAAATTGTATGGCAAACAGAAACAACACAAACAAACAACAAAATTATTATAAATAAATTAATTAAAAAACGTGAATCAATGGGGGGGAATCCGTGAATAAGTGAGAAAGAGAAACTGTAACTAAATCTAGACTTATTTGTTAGTTTTTAAATATTTGCGAAATGCATTCGAACGATAAAGTCACACAAACGAAAGCAAAAGTGAATGAGAAGTGAAGTGAAGTGAAGTCAGGCAGGAATGGGATAGGGATAGGGAGAAATGTACCAAGGATGTTTATAAATTGTTTCGTAAAACAACTAATGTATTTTCAATAATATTTAACTAATATTAATAATAAAAAATCAGTGCATAAGTAATTTTAGTAACTATAGAAAATGTTTAAATGAAATTACAAACGAAAATAAAACAAAAACACAACAAAATAACAGAAGAATTTCAGTGTATTTTGATTTCAAATTTGGCGGGTCTGTTAGTTAACACTGCTATGTTGTGGACACTGTCATTTAACAGCACATTGTGTGCGTATAACAGCACATTGTGTGCCACACACACAGCAACAGAAACGGCCAATTTGTATTGTTTAAATTTTCATTCCATGATTATATTTATTGTTCTTGCTCCTCTTCGTCCTGTTGCTCCATCAACTGCACGGGCTCCAGTGGGACAGGGCGAACAACTGGATGCGCCCGATTCATCAACATAAATGCATTGAGCGGATTCGGAGTTTCCAACATACGAAAAGTGGAATCTCCTACGGCCAGACAAAGGTTAGAAACCTGCCGCACTGTGATCCCCTCCTGCAAGGCTGCAATCAGCAAATTATTGATATTCTCATCCGCACTCGACACCATGGTGCTCCAACCGTCCGGAGTTTTGTCCATCTTTTATAAGCGAAATGCGCAAAAATATGAATACAATAAAAGGATTATTAATTATTTACAGGACAAACCTTATGCTAATGGATTTATAATATTGATAATGTGAGTCGAACTTTATATGTGAACAATTTACGAGTTTTGCACAAAAAACATGGCCTATTCCGATTCGATGTCATGGCTGATCCGGTGGAGAGTATATTGGAGGAGGTATTTCTAGTCGTTTCAAATTTGTTTGTTAGTTCAAAACGGCGGTTGGCTCTATTATTATATTCAAATTCAAATTTTCCAATTCGTTTCGTCTATCGCACAAAACTACCGATACACCGATATCACGATAGCTACCAACAGATGGCGCTATCAAATGTAAAATGTAAAATTATATGACGATATATTTATTAACCCATCCCTAAGAATGTTATTACTTCTGATTTATTTTATTTTATATTTTTCCTATTAAAATAGCTGTCTAACAAGAAACTTTCTCTCCCCTAGGAATGCAGCATTTCCACGAGCCTGTGCCCCAGAGACTTTTAATATAGCCAGAATGTTTCAAACCCGAAATTATCGTTGGGTGTTCCCAGCAAATGAGCGGACTATTAGGGTATGTTAGGATTTGGATTGACATCTTTCCAAGAAATTAAGCATTTTATGTTAAACAGATTCGTCATATCCACATTCTCATAGATTTCATTTATATCTTGTTAAAATTGCAGTGTTTACAAGAAAACATAAAAGGAATTGTTCCAAACATACATATGTACATATGATATTATGTTGTACGAGGTAACAACATGTCGACTCTCTGCAGATGCCGTTTCAAATTTTTTTTGTTCAGCCGACCCGGTAGCGAATTCCACATTTCCTCATGTCTACATTGTATATGTATGGAAGAAAGGTTTTTGTAAGCGACGAAGCACATGCCATCTCGCTCGCACATATTTGAGAGCGTACAGATCTATTTACTGTGTTCATATTTAACTTCTTATTAGTATGTATAAGTTTATGTTAAGTTAAGGTCAACTTCCTACTAACCTAATGCAGTAAATAAATTTGAGGAAGATAAGACACACATATTAGTAAGTATATTACCATATAACGGATACATTAATGTTTATTATATTAATTAATATTTTAATGTAACCTTTATATGCGAATATACCTTTAATACAGAATAAGCAAATAGGTGAGTAAAAAAAATTTTTTAATGTATGAAAAAATGTAAAAATTTAGGAAAAATTATAAAAAATGTAAACATTTTAGAAAAATTTTAAAATAAATGTAAAAATTAAAAAAAAAAAAATGTTTTTATTGCTCGCTGACGAAAGCTGACTGATATGAAACGAAAAATTCTAATTGCTCGCTGACAAAAGCTGACTGATATGAAACCAAAAAATTTCAATTGATAGCTGACAAAAGCTGACTGATATGAAACCAAAAATTTCAATTGCTAGCTGACAAAAGCTGACTGATATGAAACGAAAAATTCGAATTGCTCGCTGACAAAAGCTGACTGATATGAAACGAATAATTCGAATTGCTCGCTAACAAAAGCTGACTGATATGAAACGAATATTTCTAATTGCTCGCTGACGAAAGCTGACTGATATGAAACGAAAAATTCGAATTGCTCGCTGACAAAAGCTGACTGATATGAAATGAAAAATTCTTATTGCTCGCTGACGAAAGCTGACTGATATGAAACGATAATTCTAATTGCTCGCTGACAAAAGCTGACTGATATGAAACCAAAAAATTTCAATTTCTAGCTGACAAAAGCTGACTGATATGAAACGAACAATTCTAATTGCTCGCTGACAAAAGCTGACTGATATGAAATGAAAAATTCTAATTGCTCGCTGACAAAAGCTGACTGATATGAAATGAAAAATCTTATTGCCGCTGACGAAAGCTGACTGATATGAAACGATAATTCTAATTGCTCGCTGACAAAAGCTGACTGATATGAAACCAAAAAATTTCAATTTCTAGCTGACAAAAGCTGACTGATATGAAACGAACAATTCTAATTGCTCGCTGACAAAAGCTGACTGATATGAAATGAAAAATTCTAATTGCTCGCTGACAAAAGCTGACTGAAATGAAACGAAAAATTTGCTTTTTTTTCGCTTCCGTTTTACCGCTATAGAGTGAATAGAAGTGAATACTCTGAATGCTGCTAATCAGAATTCAAGACAACATAGCCACAATATCCTGTCGCTAAGCTCCAAAGTGACAACTGACGAACGTTCTATCAATTTTGTCAATAAATTTATGTTTTCCCTGGACTGTGACGTCGCTTCGGCCGGGTTCACAGAAATTTGTTAGGTTTCTGGCTGTGGTAGCTGAAAGAGATACCTCGGTTCAAGAAGAAAGCAAGAGCAAGTAGTAAAGTAAAAGGGTTTTTTATTGGTCTTAATCGTACAGAGTTTGAAATAGGCTGGATCGTGGTGATTCGTCTTCCTTCCGGGTCCTTCACTGTTGGCTACTCGGCCGCACGTGGCTGTTTGCTGCGTGCTGCGTGGGAGACTCGAGGGTGCTCCGGCGAGAATACGGATGCGGCTCAGCCACTAGTGGCTCAGCCAAGCAGCAATGTGCGCACTTGCACCTGGAGCAGTGTGTTTGATTTTTTCGGCTCCGCTTTCAGCTAGTGTGTGCGTGAGCCCTTAGAGCAGCTACGGCGGACACGAGCTCCACCAGTCTCAACTTTGTCCAATTTATCGACTCCAAAAACGCAATATGGGCCGCCTGGGTACTGTGGATCCTAGCTCCTACTCGCAGCCTGATTTGATTACCACGGAGCACAGTGTCCTCAACTGGAAGGTGGACTTCGATGCCACCAAACTGCAGGGCAGTGTGGTCCATCGCTTCAATGTCCAGGCCACCAATACACTAAACACATTTATTGCATGTGCGCGACATCAATGTGACCAATGCCACGTTGCTGGCTGTAGGCACTGAGCTGCCCATCAATGAGATCATTTAATTTGTCAATTCTAACTTCCGCATGAAGTTCTGCTGCCCCATATACCGTGATCTGGCTGCCTGGCTGCCAGCCTGCGAATGCCATGCCTGTGTCCATTCGCAACTTTGGCAAAGTCAAGGATCAGAAGATGGCCGTCTGCTCGCAAACTATCGAAAGGAACTTGGGATTGAAGTAATTTTAGGTCCGAATTTTGAGTGTATTTCCGAGATCTGTGAAATAAATGTTTAGATATTTTGCGTACTCGTATTCTTATGGGTTTTGCTTTCCGTTTTGGTTTTCTTGAATTATTTGTTTTTATTAAAAAATAAGCAAAACTACGTTTATAACAAGTTGATTTCCATTTCCATGCTCATTGTAATTTCTAATTTTAAATTTTGCTTGCAATTTGTTGTTCGTGTTATTAGGTTTCCTATTACAATATATTTTGTCCAATTTTTTCAGCT